AAACTCGCAACCTGCGCACGCATTCAATTGTTGTTACAGCAATCTGCACAAAATACACTGCAGTATTAAGTCAGCTTCCGACTATCAACAACATAAAATGCACGGTTTATCGACAACGAGCTGCAAATCTAAATTTTCCAACGAATCCTCGGTCCATATCAGACATGCATATTACCGGCTCATTTGCTCTGACAAAGAAAAACGAACAATTTCTGTAATACCAATCAGGAAATTAAGATTCGGATCGGTTTTTAATTTTGCGATGAATCAACAACTTGATCATGTTCAATCATGTACAGAAGCATATATGGATGGCACTATTAAGGCGGTGCCTGAGATATTTTAGCAACTGTACTCAAACCACGGTTCAATACAAAGAAATATTATTCCATTGACATATATTCTTATGTCTCGTAAAACTGAAGAAATTTACAAAAAGATTTATCAAGCTATTATATCATTAAGACAATTCTTACTGATTTTGAATCTGGAGCAATGAAAGCTGTTAGTTCATGTTGGCCTCAATCAAGTGCTCATGCTTGGTTTTTTCACCTAACACAAAACATCTATCGACAAGTTCAACAAGCAGGTCTTACAACTAAATATGGAAACGACGAAGAATATGCACATGCTTCCCGGGTTAGCCTTTCTGGAGTTAAATGATGTTGTCAGTGTTTAAAAATATTGGTGATTTACAAATATCAGACATTGATCCACTTTACAATTATTTTGCAGATTACTACATTGGTCTATATCGAAGTCGCAATAGAAGAACAATTCTAATATTCCCAGTCACATCTTGTACAATTCGTTAAGAAACCAATTCGATTATACCAACAACGCTGTCGAAGGGTGGTATTGACGGCTTACCAACATTCTGGATGCAGCACATTCTGGTTTTCGGCGTTTTTTGACTAATCTTTAAACAGAGCAATCGCAAGTAGATGGTGAGATTTGTCAATTAGTAACAGTCGTCGTGCCAAAACCAAAGAGGGTCAAAACTCAATGTACAGCGTCCCGAATTTTACAAATTTTAGAAGATCCTACTAATGATAATATACAAAAATTGAAAGTCATTGCTCACACATTTATGTTATAATTGTTCATTGATTTATTCTTGTTGGTGTATTTATTTTTGTTATTTTTTGTACTTTGTTCTATGTTGAATGATATTCATTTCTTTTTTGGTAGAAAGTATTTATTTGCACACATATGTCTTACATACAATTGTCCGTTCACATAATTGTCTTGCACATAAAAGTCCGCGCACAATTGTCTTACACACAATAGTCGTGTTCCCCAGAGATTGTGCTAACAGCTTTTTTTACTAAACTAAGTTTTATTTCAAAGGACTCTCTTCATTTTTTTTTGTTGGAAGCAGTTTCATCTACAATAACCATTAGAATATTGTTGTCCTTTTTTCAAGGGGGAAAAGGCGATACTCCAGGAGTGCATACTCCACCGATACTCCACACTACTCCACCGGTACTTCATTCATACTCCACCGGTACTCCACTCTACTCCAGTGATACTCCACCGATACTCCATTCGTACTCCAGTCGTACTCCAACCTTACTCCACTAGGGATGCAACGGTGATGATAACCGTAGGTGCGGTTACCAAGTCGAACCCATTCGCAAGAAAAACACCATTTTATAAGAAAACAACGATATTTCATAAAGGTTGACGAAAGTAAATCGAGGTCGGAGAATTCGAATCTAAAGTCAGTTTTTGAAAATTTTGAACTAATTTTTTCGACAAAGGAAAAGGTTTTTCAGAAAAGTAATTATATATTATAAAGGCTCAAGAAAGTAAATCGAAATCGAAACCGAAGAATCCAAATCTGAAATCAGATCCTTGAATTTTTCAATTTTCTCTTCCCAAGACTAAACCGCTTCTTGAAAATCGTCTTTTTTTCTAGAAAGATTTATTCCTGAAAAAGATTATATGTGAAGATGAAAACTCAAAATTTTCAAAAGCTAACTTCAGATTCAAATTCCCCGACCTCGATTTACTTTTTTTTTCAAAAAACCCTTCCTTTCAGCCAAAAAAAATTAGTTCAAAATTTTCAAAAACTGACTTTAGATTCGAATTCTCCGAACTCCATTTACTTTCGTCAACCTTTATAGAATATCATTATTTTTCTAAAAAACCTTTCCTTTGTGGAAAAAATTGAATTCAAAATTTTCAAAAACCGACTTCAGATTCGGATTCTCCGACCTCGATTTACTTTCGTCAACCTTTATGAAATATCTTTATTTTTTCAAAAAACCCTTCCTTTCACCCAAAAAAATTAGTTCAAAATTTTCAAAAACTGACTTCAGATTCGTATTCTCCGACCTCGATTTACTTTCGTCAACCTTTATGAAATATCGTTGTTTTCTTATAAAATGGTGTTTTTCTTGCGAATGGGTTCGACTTGGTAACCGCACCTACGGTTATCATCACCGTTGCATCCCTAGTGGAGTAAGGTTGGAGTACGACTGGAGTACGAATGGAGTATCGGTGGAGTATCACTGGAGNGCAAAATCCAATTATAAGACTTGAAAATGAATCCCTTCTATTTTTCTTCGACTAGTATGTAAAAGCCTAATATTTTGATTATGTACCAAAGCGCAGTTGACCAACTCACGGGTAAAGGAAATGAATGGTTGTAGATGCTTCTAGTTTGAGAAAAACTGTGTAACAGAAATCACTCATATGTTCAACCATTTTGAGTGTTCACGTCTATTACGAATACCCTATCAAAAATGTAAAAAAAAACTTTTTGCACACTTTTCAGATACAAATGCTTTCTTTTTAAGCGTGTTCATGCACTTGTTATGATGAAGGTGGCCGGTTCAGGTATTTTTTTGAATGGACATGAAAAGATTCAAACGGAAACCACGATCAGCGCATTTGTATGTCTTTTCAGAATCTTTGTCTGTTTGTGTCAAATTATCAATTAACTTTTTTTTGTCGTATGGGATCAATAGAACTCTCGAGAAAAGAAAGAGATTCGTGTTCTCGATCAATTCAAAACCTTTGGTACGCAAACAATCTTTAAATTTTAAATGTAACTGAAGTGTTTCGAAAATATTTTGTTGATTTTTTTTGTACACATGCAAAAGTATCCAAAGATATTGGACATGTAAAAACAACAATATTTAAGTTAGTTCTTTGTTTGTCGACGGATTAAGTTTCTCTTATATGCCTTTTTTGGTTACAGGATAAAACATGAATGTTTTTCGGGTTTCTTCGGCTTCCCAAGGGCCGCAATGATTGCCTCATCAAAGACTTCCTTTACACCTTTCTAGAAGTGAAATAGATTCAATCAAAGAGGAATATCAATTTCGATCAATCAATTTACTTGTGTCAATGCGCTGCACTCAATATATTTTACTGCTTTGAGTTCACGCGCCAATTTTTCGCCTTGTTTGAATGAAATCAAATGCCCATGGGACTGTTTCAAAGAGGCAATAGTTTTCGGATCATCTCGAAGATCGATTTGTGTTCCAACTAGTATAAATTGAGTATGAGGACAATGATGAGCTATTTCGGGAATCCACTATCAATGTGAATCATGAAAAAATCGAATGAGATCAATCGAGATATGTGCTCGAAAAGTGTAACAAACCTTTGCACGAACATTTTCAAACGATGAAGGTAGAGCGATATTCAAGCACACCAAGAAAATATCGGTCTGAGGATAGCTCAAAAGACGAAGACGATCGTAGTCTTCTTGTCCTAGAATCAAGGATAAAAATACATCGATTACATCCATAATACGTTCAAATAACTCACCGGCTGTATCAAATAAATTTAATGTATAAGGTTCTTGATTGATGTTTACCGTGACAGCATAATTGTCAAATATCTGAAAACGAGTCGCAATAATAAAAGTCTGCCAATTTCACATTGAAATTGGCAAATAACTCACCGTTGGACGATATTCACCCAGAAATTTATTTTGCGCATAAGACGCTAATAAACAAGTTTTTCCTGTGTGTGATGAAGAAGAATAATTTTGGGTTAAATTAACTACAGAGATTCTCTTACCGACGGCACCGTCACCAACAACTACGCACTTGATTGCTCGCATAGCTCGTCCTGCTGCTTGTTGATATTCCATGTAAATCTAAAACTCAGAATCACCATGGCGCCATACTCATTTTATTTACGAAAGAGAACTCTGTTTCACTTAGGACAAGTTACATTTTACTCAAACAAAAAAGCAGCGACAAGTTAAAAATATTTACAATGAGTAATGTGCAATGTGATTCATCAAAATTGGAGAATGGATTCCTTCCATTCTACCCGTAGCTTCTCATACTAATCTCATTTGTATGAGACGTCACGCCGTGCAATTATTTCTTTGAAAAAGGACATTTTAAGAGGGATTAGAGCTTCAACTCAAACTCAAACTCAAATTGTCTTCGTAATGTCAATATCGAAAAAAAATACAAACGTTGTCGTATCAATGGATAATGTAATATTCTTCTCACATCTTTGTCAACTTGTGTGTCTCTAATGTGAAGCGAATTATCTAATTACACATTGAAAAGATTTTTCTCGAAATCAGTATTATGTACGTGACAATATCTCTCGAAGAAAACAGAATACCTACCGGAGAAAATGTATGGTTTTCTGAATTCATTCGACTAAATGGATATATTGAAAACGTACCGTCAAATCAATCTGTTAATTATCAGCAAAATCCAGTGTTGTCAAATAAATCTTTCTGGTGAAGTTTGTTTGTCACTTAGAAGAAACAGCTTTGAAGAAAACAAACCTTATATAATACTCATGATTTTTCAGCCTCAGTCGCCGTGGTCGTCAGTATGCACAAATGAGTGTGTTGTCGAGATAAAAAGAAAAGTGCATGTTATTTCACAATCAATTATGAATCATTCAAGTCAATATCCAACATGTTTGCTCTCAGAAAAAGCACACATTTGAAGCAAGCAGGAATAGTGTTGCTATCATTGATCCTTTTCAAAAGTAATTGGAGTCATACTATAACCACTCATATTTGGAGTGCAATGAATAGAGGTCACGCTTGCAACATCAAGACAGTAGTGGCGCACTCTCACGTCCAGTAAACTCGAATATATGAGTCATATTGCTGCAGAAAACGAGAACATATCATTAAATTTGATAAAGAATTACTCCGTGTTATTTCAATAATATCTGCTGTACGGAAAGACTTATAAAAGACATATGCGAAGATTGATATGGCATTGCAGAGTTTAGACTATTTTATCCAAACAAAAGAAATGGCTCCCATTTAAATGCTAAGTAACTTTTAATAAAAAGTAAGTAAAAAATTCAATTTTTGCTAAGTAATTTTTTGAAAATAGTTTTAAATATAAAAAACATTTTTGCTAAGTATTTTATTTAAATTCTAAGTGAAACAGTTTGATTTTCTAGGCAAAATTTTGTAAATTTCTAGGTAGATATACACATTTTGCTAAGTAAAGAAACAAATGTATAAGTAAAAAATTTAACTATTCAGTTATTGTATTAATAAAGCTTTTGTTGCTTTTCGTAGTCGTTCTCGTTTTCTTTTTTGATCCAATGGTATATCCTTTGCCGCTGGAGATGGTTGGCAAAATTTCAGTCTAATTGCCATAGCAATGATGTGTTTGAAAATATTTTCTTGAAGAAACTTGGATAATTGCAAATTCCATTTTTCCATTCTGATGCATTGTCTGGTAAAATTACTTTGCATATTCCAAATTGAAGATCTTTAAATTGATCAAATGATGTCCATTTGTGTCTTTTGGATTTCACTTTTTGTAACATTTTTTACGACACTAGCTGGTACATAGTAATCGGTAAAATATTTTGTTTTCGATAATATATGTAATACCGATTTGGAAGATTTTGCAAAATGATATGCATCAGTCCATTTTTTAAGCGTAATTGTTGGTTCTGTTGAAAATACAATTGGATCTGTTGTACTGTAAGTCCTGCAAAGCGCTTCAATACAAGTAAGAATGTAGTATTCCAATGGTTTTAAGTTTAGATATAGTAAAGTGCAGAGAAATATAGAAATTCACAGCACTTTTCAAACTATTATCTAAGCTCCTTTAAGCAGCTCTTTTAAGTGTATCGGCTTTCCACAGCTTGTAACAAGTAAAATAAAGCGCTTTACAGAAGCTTATTGAAGTGTAAGCTTCTCTAAGTCGTCTAGGACTAACTGGCAAAGGTAAGAATTTTCACCTGCGTACTTTTTGTCTAGCACGTCAACTTTGTTGAAAAGTAAACTGAGGTAGTTGCCGCTTTCATTTTATCAATAATATCATTTTTTGTTCTACTTTGCTCCTATGATTTCCTTCTCGAGCATGCATTCTTATGAATATCGATGACGACAAAAAGGAGTTTCTTAAGTTTCTTTGGTGTCAACGTTTTTCCTGTCATTGAAGTGATATCGCTTTGTGAAGGTTGATGTGTAGTCAGACTTTCAGATGATTCACCGACCTTTATTCACAGCAAAATCTTCACTCTCTTCCACCTAATCTACTCGATCAGATCCTGACTCGCAACTGCACTCTCAGCATACATATTATCATCCTCACATAGCCGTTGTGGTTTATCAGAAGCATTCTCCGCAGGATTATATCAGCCTTATTTTACATGAAAGACCTCTTTTTTGTTACGACAACATAATTTGTTACCCAATAGCTCAACTGATAGCTCGAATGCTTATCTTTTGCTAACATACATTTTTTGAGGGCTTAACGAAAGCTCTATTTGAAGTGTGAGTGTGAGTCTTTTCTACATTTACATAGACATTCACATCCTAACTTCAAAATATTTAGCATTTTCAACAAAGTCAATTATTCTTAGGTTCAAAAAGTTATATTTGCATTCATCGAAGAAGCATCAGATTGAAATAGTCCATATTACTGAAGATATTTACAATATTGGTAACTAGTGTGAGTTCACAGTTGAAGTAATTTATATTGTAATATTGAGCTAAGGAATTATATAGATCCATCATCAGTACAATATCATAATGAAAACAATTTTTTCATCATATCATTGTTAAACTAAGTATAAGAACAATACAGCTCATTGAAAGAAGTGGCTATGTGATAGCTAAGAATGTAATGGGCGTAAATCTGAGTCTGGATCCCGACGTTAGTGTGAAAGTAAGATTCTTCTTTTTATCGACACCCACAACTCACATTCAAACCAAGACCATCATACACACATTACTCTTGTTGTTTATCTCTTCATCATTATATCTACAACGTTAGCAATATCTTTGTTTTCAATTGATTCACATTCACACTTTTCTGTATCAATCGGTAATGTTCGGTTTATATCGGTTTGTATTTATTTCGAAATTGTTTTGACTGCATACTAGCACTTTTTATCTCACAGAAAAACTATTAATCTTTTATCGGCATTGAAAAGTCAGGGTCTACTGTAACGAGAGAAAAAAACATGTGTTTGTAGACCTTCTATTAGAGATTCATAGTATATATCGATAGAAAGTTATAGATATTTTTGAAACAAAACATTTTGTGGAACTCACATATGTTTTCGAAGAAAATAGTGAGTGTAAGTTTTAAGTTCGAGTTTTTGTGGCCCCCCCCCCTCCCCTTACAGACAGGCTACCATTACAGACCATAGCAACGAAAGAGAACATTACAGACATACCTCCCCATTACAAACTCTAACAACTGCCCATAACAAACTTCAAATGTACTTATTTATAAAAAACATTGCATGACATAAGAATATATAAGTTCGACTNATTGCGCCAATCGAATCTTGAATGCTTGTATAATGAAACATGTTTGACTGAATTACAAGATCGCATGGAATCGACATTGCCTATCAGTGCAACAGTTCTGAACTCTTCGGCGCCAAGTCATTTCTTTCTGAACACCACGATTGGAGCATTATTGGATCAATTAATGGTGGAGACGTGGAATTGGTCGATCATTTATGAGGATTACTATGGAGCATGCAGGCCATCAGAGTGTACCTATAGACTCACCATGAAAAATGATGTTATTCACATAGTCACAATACTCATTGGTCTGATTGGAGGCTTAGTAACAGCTTTCAAACTCATCGTGCCTCACTTAATATGGTTCATCAGAGGGCAACTGAAGCGAACGGCATCGCCAACAGGTATTTCTGAATACAGGACACTCATGAGTATATAGTATCATATGGGGCTGCTTTAGAGAAATCCACGTAGTATGTATAAATTGGAATAGTTCTTTCTAGGTTCGAATGGATATTGTCGTGGAGATATGCTAGGAAGTCACTGGTTCATTTGTACATAAAACTTATATAGTGTTTATGAAAATCTGAAATTGATGAGGACACAAATAAAATGAATTATACTCAAGTAGGCAATCATCTACTTGATGATCATAAATCAAATTTAATCATTTTAGGATATAATACTAGGAATGAGTGCTGCATGAAAATAGATAAACAATTGAAAAAAAACTCTCCTACACAGTGACCCTTGCGTGTCATATAGTTTAATTGTAGTGTTGACATAGAACGTTTTTGTAGTTGTCCTGTCTCGACTCAGTTGAAAGCATGATCCTCTACAGTTCTTTATGGATTTTTACTTTTAAGTTCTTGCAGTTTGGTCGCATACGAATAATTTCAACAGTGGAAACATATACATAAGGAAGGAAGTGGAACCGAGCAACAGTGTTGAAGCAGACAAGAAAGTGACAGAAAAGTGAAAGTTGGACGACAGAAGAAAAACCAAAGTAATGTATCTTGTTGCAATCACCTTTAAGTGTTGTCCACAAAGCATTTCAATTCGACATTACCCGTGTGTTTCATATGAAACAAGATACTTTGTCACTATTTTAGTATTCATCTAGTTCTAGAAGAATATTTTTTATTATCAACTGATGTTTTGAGTGTAATGATTATTGAAGTGGCATACGTGACTCTACCATTGAGTATGATGTTCATCCGACTATTTTACACGTTCAAGTGCCTGTTCAAGTATTGTATCATGTGCCAACACAATGGCGAAGTACATTGTTTTATATTTTTTGAGATGCAAGCAAAGCATCTAAGTTATTTTCATCCTTTACCCGCCAACAGCAGTTCCAGAAGAGTCACTTATAAAATCATGTT